ATGACCCAAAGCCTTGGGAACCTGACCTATGTGGGAGACCTGGAAGAAACTCCTGGTTTTAGATCAGCCCAGCTCTGGCCATTTTGGCCATTCATGGGGTAAGAGGGGTGGTGAACCAGAAGATGGAAGATCTTTCTGTCTGTCTCTCTTTAAATCTGCATTTTCAATAAAAATAATAAATAATTCTTTCAAAAACAAAAGACTTGAGAGACAAAGAGGATTAAATACACTGTCCATGGGCAGGCAAGTCTCCATTTCTTCACCACATATCTTATTTCTCATTGTGTGTCTTTCTCATGGAAGTGGCTGAAAGATGCCTCAATGAACATTTGCTGTGGTGCTGCTGTGTATATGTCAAGGGCTGTGATAGGTGCCAAGGATATTGAAGTGACAGAAGCGTTGGATCATGCTGATAATGATGACACAAGTTTAAAGCTAAATATTTCTTCTACTGCTGCTGGCTTTTGCTTTATAAAAAGAGGAACTATTTCAACTGGAACACAGTGGACAAATGGGCAGCAGGTGACCAGAATCATTTGCTTTCCAGCTGTTGTACCAGCTGTGTCACACTGATGCTGGCTTCCACCTGTCGAACGCTTGCTTCCGCCAGTTTAGAACTGAGATATTTTTATATGCCGGTCATGGCAAAACCCAAGTAGGGATGGGATTTCTCTGACAGTGAATTGGGAACTGAATGTATTGCACTTCCAGGCAATCTGTATACTAGGAGGTTTATTCCACAGTGATGGACAAGATATCAAATGCAGCGATAGTTCAGGAGTTGCCTGTGGGGGAGCCAATCCTCTCAGATGAGGTTCTTTAGACAAAGGGGTGTAGGGGGTTCAAGGGGTGCAGGGAGGGGTAAGGCCGGCAGTGTTAGGGCCTGGGCACACAGAGGACAGGCCAGGGCTGCTTAGGTCTCCTGGTTTAGAGTTCAGGCTGTTTATGAAGCCAGTGGTGACATAACCCTCCAAATCAGTGCCGCTTTTCATCTTCTCTCACCAAGGGCCTACTGGCTGACAAACTCATGTGTATGCATCAGGCTGGTTTCTGGGTGGTTGACATTCATCATCCTCTGACTTCATTTCTTTCCTCCTTTTGCAAAATGACTATTGCCCAGAGCCAGCATCCTGTTTCCAAAAAGTGAACCTGCCAGGAGAGTTTTTGGAAACTGCCTTGCTTTCTGCCAGGAGCCAGATGATTCACAGCAATGAACCAATGCACAGAACAAGAGCACCTGATTGGATTACCAATTAGCCACCTCCAGCTCAGCAGGGCAGGTGGAAAGAAGAGAAAACAGTAGTGTTTAGCTTGGGCAAACACCAACAGGGTTTTATCATTCTCATCAAGACAGAGCCATGGCAAGCAGACTTCTTCCCAGCTATGGCACGGGAGTGTCTCTCCCCAGATGCTCCAGCAAGAGGAAACTTGTTGTGCAAACAGTGGGCGATTGTGTGTGAACTACAGAGGCACCTCTGTGTTGGCGGGAGAAGGGGAGAAAGTGGGCGGCTCACATCTGGTTTTAATGAAGTCTCTGCTGCATGGAAACTTGGGAAGCTGTAGGTATAACTTCTGCCTTCTGGCAGCAAGGCTGGCCTGGGACGTGGTAGAGTCTTACCTTCTCCTGGCTGCAGCTCCAATGTTAGAGTTGGCTCTGGGGGGCATGGGCAGATATCTTCTCCAGGAGGGTCTGGCCTGCAGCATTCCAGCATGGGCTCTCTGGGCTCCTCTGGAAAAGCAGTACATAGGCAGAATCAACAGCTGTGCAGGTCAGGAGTTGAGCTCAAGGTGCCTGAATGCTGCTGTGCTTGCTCAGAGGCCATCAAAGGGCAGGGTGACGGGAGCAGGGATGTGACGGAGCAGGGCCATGGTTCAGATCCTATCCTCTGTGAGTCAGGTAGGAGGGGCAGAAAGGCGTGCTGCCAGTGTGGCCTAAATCATGCCTAAGTGAAGGGCTGGCAAAAGGGGGCCCCTCTGGGGACCTCAAGGCCAGGGCTCAGCTGGCAGGAGCACCTGGGTGCACCTGGCCAGAGTACCTCCCTGCCCACCCCACCCTCTTTCACTGTCCCTCTCTCTCTAATGCATTTGTGTAGCACCAAGTAGGTCCAGCTGTGCTGTGGGGACCAGATTGCTAGCACTGTGCAGTGACTGCAAAGGGTCGGGCCCTGGAGGAGAAGGATGCTGGAGTTGCCTCCATCTTGTGTACAGACTGAAGGGCTGTCCATGATAGCAGATGCTGCCAGGTGATGGTCTCCCAATCTAATTCACTTCCCACAGTGCTGCCTGGTTCCACAGGACTGCCCCCACTTCAGATGCTGGCCACAATCCTCAGGCTGTGACCCATCTACCTGATGGGCCACCATGAATTTGGATTCTATTTCTCCTTGGGCTTGGTAATGTACAAGAGTGGCTCACAGGACTTGGGAAACACATGGACTATGTTACGGTAAAAGATGTTATAGATAAGCAGCAGATGGCCAGAGACACCAGCAGGGTGCGTGAGGGTACCTGCAGAGCTCACAGGTTCTCTCTGAGTGGGCCATCCAGCCTATACCTCCACATTTTCAGAAACTAAGAAACACTCTTGCAGATGCACAGTTTTTATAAATATTGGGCTTCAGCCCATCCTCCTTGTCTCTGAGGGCTTGGCAATACAAATCTTGAATCCTTCACTCACTGGGTTTTTCTGGTAACTGGTCCTCCATAGGTTGTCTAGGGGCCTAGCCCCAAGTCATCTCTTTGGCAAGAACTCAGTTGTTGAGGAAAGTGTTTGGCTCAGTGGTGAAGATTCTGCTTGGGATGTCTGTAACTCATATAGAAGGTGCGGGTCCAAGTCCTGGTTCCCCCTTTGATCCCAGCTGCCTGCAAATGCACACCATGGTGGCTCAAGTCAGTAGATTCCTATCACTCACATCTGAGTTGCATGCTCCTGGCTTCAACCTGGTCCAGCTCTGGATGTTAGCAGTAACTGGGGAGCAAGTCAGCAGATGGGGAATCTCTGGCATTCTTGGCCTCTCAAATAAGTAAAAATAAATTAAAATTTATAGAGCATAAGGATCAAAACAAATTCCCCAGTGTTACCAGAGGTGCTCCCTATGACAACAAAGGACCTTGCATCCCTCTGGAAAAGCCGTGGATTTCAGGTCTGTAAGAAGAACCAGGGACAAACACCATACGTCCCTTTCCCTCTCCAAGACAAAGGGGTCAGGAGTGGGCAGGCCATGAGCTAAAGTGGATGCTTCTGTGAATACACACACATGCACTCACATACCACAAAGGCACCAGTGTGCAACTTGCAACAATACAAACACACATCTACCCATACAGAGGTATACATACTTAGTATACACATGCATCCATGTCCATTCATTTGCATAATCACACATATGTGCCTGTTACATAAATAGTGACACATGTTGACACAGGCACTCATTCACAGGCCTATGTGTCTATATGAACATGTCAACCACTCAACCACACACTCTCGCACATACTGGACTCATACTCAGAGACACTGTAACATACTCAGAGACATACATGTTCTTACACACATGTTCACTTACATATATGCATGCTGCCACCATATCACTTGAGGTTCTAGCTGTCTTCTTGTCATAATGACCCTGACAAGTTGTTCTGACTGGGTTCTCTCTGCCCCAGGATGCCCAGAAGCTGTGTGGGTGTGCATGGCAGCATTTGCCCTGGGCTGTGCAACCTCCTGGAACACTGTGAATGCTGACATGGCAGCACCTCAAATTTGATTTCTGTCTATCAGAATCAAAACAGCATCATAGCCACTTGAGTGCAAAGGGTATGAGACATTGTGAAAGGAGGCTTCCAATGTAGAAGCTAGAGAAGGAAGGAGAGAATTGGGAATGAGCGGGACTGGATTTGGATTTGGACCATCTCAGCCTTAAACGGAAAAGCTGCAAACACAGTAAGGGATTAGTGACTTATAGGATTCACTTATTTTTTTACAAGAGTTCAACCTTACGTGCTGTGTCGGTGAGGAGGGTGATGGAAACAGTAGGGGCTCCTGTCCCTGGGTGAGTCCGAGATGCAGGATGTGCTATCTATTTCTTTTTAAAAATTTTTATTTATTCATTTATTTATTTTAAAGATTTATTTTATTTTTTATTGGAGAGGTGGATATGCAGAGAGGAGAGACAGAGAGGAAGATCTTCTGTCCAATGATTTACTCCCCAAGTGAGCACAATGGCCGGTACTATGCCAATCCGAAGCCAGGAGCCAGGAACTTCTTCCGGGTCTCCCATGCGGGTGCAGGGTCCCAAAGCTTTGGGCCATCCTCACCTGCCTTCCCGGGCAGGGAGCTGGATGGGAAGCGGGTCGCTGGGATTAGAACTGGCGTCCATATGGGATCCCGGGAGTGCAAGGCGAGGACCTTAAACACTGCGCCACTGTGTTGGGCTGTGCTATCTATTTTGCTAGTGGTTCGCAGGTCCTCTTGTGTTCACAGAGAGGCCTCTTGGGTTGTATCAGCATTTCAGGCCCCTCTTCAGCTGCAGGTGAGGCTAAGTTATAGGGCAGGTAGTAGAAACCCAGGGTCCTTCCCTCTCTGTGAATGGGCCTCTTGCTGGATCCTGGGCTGGAAAGTGACTTCCTTCTGGGGACTCTTTCTACTGACAGGGTCACAGAGGCTCTTGCCCTGGGCTAGGGGGATCATGCTCTGGGCTGAGTAGGCCTAAAACAGCCAAGTAGCACAGGTTGCTCTGGAACACTGAGAGCTGTGTCACCACATGCTGCTGCCAGGTGTGAGGCCAGCACAGCTTGGCAATGCATGTTGGTGCAGCAGGCCCACAGAACATGTACTAATCTTTAAGAACATGCATGGCGAGTGGGCATCTGGCTGGCATTATTGGAAATACTCTGGTTCCCCATTTTGCAATGGGAAATCTCATCATGGATGCCTTGCAACTCTAGAACAAGCTGCATATGAGCCAGTAGGTTAGGGACATCTTTGCACACTGGGGAATGATTACCTTGTTTTGTTAGCAGTGTCCTTGCCGGAGGTCTCATATTTGTGGCACTCCTGGGGCTGCTATGGCCGGATGTCCTGGGACTGTCCAATGTCCCCTGGCTCCCTGGACTCTTTCTCCTGTTAATCAGGGGTAGAATTTCCACCAGCGAGGCCACATTCTGGGATGGAACACTGTCATCTTCAAAAGCTGAAGGGACACAAACACAAGTGAGATAAGTTCTGAACTGACAGGAGGGAGAACATAGCTCTTTTCTAGGCCAGGGGATGGCTGTTTGTGTTTAGCATCACCCATTCTCCAGTCTGTCTCTGGCCCAGTCTTGCCAAGGAGCAGACTGGATGTCTCCTGTGGTCAAGATTAAATTACTCTTGGCCAGAACAGCAGGTGACCCTTCCTTTGGGGAACTGCCAAGAACTGGAAAGGATTGAGTAGTGGCAGGGAGGTATTCTCATATCGAGGCTCGGATCCTGGAAGCAAGCCAAAGAGGGATGGGGAGACTGCAGATGCCTCCTGCCTCCAATTGGAAAGCTCTGTTTAGGGTAGACCCCGGCTGGGGCGCTCATGGGATCATTGAATGCTGGCTTCTGACCACAGAGCCAGTGGTCACATTTCCTCCTCAGGATTCAAAGTACAGCTGCCTTTCAGTATCTGTGGAGCACAGATTCCAGAATGTTCCTCTACTACTAATACCAGAATCCATGGGTGCTCAAGTTTCATTTATAACTCTCTACACTATCTACACAGAACCTCTGTACATTCTTCTGCATGCTTTAAATCATTTCTAGTTACTTATAATACCTATATGAGTACAATAAAAGCCATGTAGTTTTAATTCTGTATTGTTTAGGGAATAATGGCAAGAGAAAGGAGGCTGCATATGACTAGCACAGACACAATTTTTAATTAAAAATGCTTTAGGATGGACCCAGCAAGATGGCTCATTGGCTACATTCTTACCTTGCAAGCACCAGGATTACATATGGGTAATGGTTCATGTCCTAGCTGTTCCACTTCCCATCCAGCTCCCTGCTTGTGCCCTGGAAGGCAGTCGAGGACAGCCCAAAGCCTTGGGACCTTGCATCCAGGAAGGAGACCTGGAAGAAGCCCCTGGCTTCAGATCAGCTCAGCTCTGGTTGTTGCAGCCACTTGGGGAGTGAACCAGTGGATGAAAGATCTTTCCTTCTGTCTCTCCTTCTCTCTGTAAATCTACCTTTCAAATAAAAATAAATCTTCAGAAAAGTGATAGTTACGTATTTTTGTGAGCTCCTGTACCAAATTTAAACATATGTGCACAATGGAACCTGATCAAATGTCAATTATTATTTTCAGTTCCTTATCTCTCATGTTTGGAGTCTCCCAGCTCCTGTCTTTCAGTTAGTTGTTACAGTATATAGTACTTTATTGTGAACTATAACTGACTCACTACTGTTAAACACTAGAATGCATTACTTTAATAACTGTGCTTTGTACTGGTTATCCAACCTCCTTGTACTCCTCAGCCTCTACTCTTCCTAGCCTCTAGAAATCAATTGACTTTGTTTAACTTTCCATATTAACAGAAGAAATATAGTATCTCTCTTAATACCTCTGCCTTATTTAACTTAACATAATGGCCTCAAGTTCTATTCACTTTGCTGCAAATGTCTGAGTTTCCTTTTGTTTTGGCCGAACAGTGCCATTATGTGCCATTATGCACATTTCCTTAATCCATGCAATGACAGTGGACACCTTGCTAGATTCCATGTTTTGACCATTGTTTCTGGTACATAAATGAACATGGGAGTGGAGCTATCTCTCTGATAGGCTGGGTAAATTTTCTTTAAATATATATCTGTGGTGGTGTAGCATGGCGTAGCTAATCCTTGTCTTCAATGCTGGCATTCCATATGGGCAATGGTTTTAGTCCAGCTGTTCCATTTCTGATCCAACTCCCTGCTAATGATTTGGGAAAGCAGCAGAGGACAGCCCAGTTCTTTGGGTCTCTGCCCATGTGGGAGGCCCAGAAGTTCTGGTTCCTTAGAGATTAGGGAGTGAACCAGCGAATGGAAAATCTTTCTCCATCTCTCCTCAGTAGGGAAATAGCTTGGTATGTAGTAATCTATTTTTTCTTTCTCTCTCTCTTTTTTCAGAAACCTCATAACTATTCTTCAAAATGGCTGTACTAATATACTATTTCCACCAATAGCAAACAAGTGTTTCCTTTTTCCTGCAACCTCTTAAGTATTATTTTCTTGTTTGTGGCAATCACTTTAACTGTAATGAGATGATATCTCCTGTGGTTTCCCTAATGCTAGTGATATGAAATATTTCTTCATTTTTGTTGGCCAGTTCTGTCTCCTTTTTTGTGAAACAACTATTACACTTCAGGGGCATTTTATTGCTTTGCTTTTTCATATTTTCCATGTCTTTACATTGATATTCACACTTTTGACATTTTAGTTGTGTGTATATATGCTTTAAGATTAAGATTTATCTATTTGAAAAACAGAGTTACAGATAGAGTTTTGTCATCTGTTGCTTCACTCCCGAGGTGGCAGCAATGGCTGGGACTCCCTGTGTCTTGTTCCACTGTAATCAATGGCAATGACAGTGGGGCTTGAGACGCTCTCTCAGTTAGAAGGATGCATGTCCATCATGGGTACCCTCAACACAGGCAAGGGTGGCAGCCGACAGTCTGTCATGGCTGGGGTGGTAGGAGCCTTGGCCTTTACTTCCACAGGGGTCACACATAAGACACCTGCACTGGCTGAGGAATGCCTGGGTTCTCAGCAGGGCTGGCCCAAAGTTTGGCAGAGGCATGTGGGTCCCCACAGTGACAGCCCAGGTTGCTGTACAAATGCTGTGGCACTCATTTACCTTCTCTTTCCCAAAGAAGACAATTATGTGGTCTGGGGTCAGGGAAGTAATAGAATGAGCAGTTATGTGGCCATCTACACTGCAATGCTAGGTGATATCTTTTATGATTTGAATATTAGTTTGGCCCCCACATGCATATGTGCTAAAGGCTTGGTCCCCAAAATCTTAAGGTAATTAATAATTAATGATAATGAACCATGAATTAGAGTACAGGCTTGACCCAATTATAGTGTCTAGGAACTGGACCTGCTAGGAGGTCCTGAGGTCATTGGGGGCGTACCTCAGAATCCAGTTCTCTTGAGAGGGTAGGTTTTTAATCCTGGCCTCTGTGTGTGCTTCCTGACTTACCATGTGATTCTCCCACTGCCTGCTGCTGGTCATCCACTGCCCTCATCAGACACCAGACCTATGGGGTTACCTGATCTTACACCACGAGCCTTCCAAATCATGAGAATAAACCTTAATCACAGAATAAACCTTCTGTGTTTCCCAAGTTGCTAGGTTCAGGTATTTGTTATAGTGACAAAATGCTGCCAACAGAATAAGTACCAAGAAGCAGGGTCAGTGCTAATAGCCAAAAAAAAAAAAAGGGAGAAGTAGGTTTAGAAGTGGGTGACTGGCAGACACCCACAGAAGAAAGCTGCCAGTTGTGTGTATTATACACAATGGAAAGCCACAGTCACTGCATGGCATGCAGTCAGCCGCGTGGATGGAGACAGTGAAGACAGTGAGGTCTCCATCTCTGTTCTGAGGCCTGGTTTCAGACAACCTGACTGGGATGGTGGAGCAGCAGAGACCTGTTGCAGAAGCAAGAGCTACTGCAGAGAGCTTTGTTAGGGCAATGTCAGGGAGAAACAGGATGCCAGGGCTGGCAGAGAATGCCCTCGGTGGTAGTGCCCAGTAGAATCCAGGGACAAGACTCCAGTCTGTAAGGGGATGGCACAGCCTGTCTTGTTAACTCTAAATACCCTTGCACTAGGGACCTCAATGTGTGAACAACTTCCAGGAAAATCCCTGCTTCTCTGAATCTCTTTCTTTATGGGTCTATTACTAGACTGAGTCAACATACTATGCAAATTTACCCCAAGTTCTCTGGAACTTCTTAGGCCACCTTCTTCCTGCCACACAGGCAAGAGACAAACTCTAGCTGGTGTCTCCATCCCTGTGGGTGGGCCTGGCAGCTCAAAACAAGTGCACAGCTGGGCAAGATGAATAACAGTAAGGATGGAATTCAGAGTGTTGTTGTTGTACTGCATGGCTCCGGCTGTGCACCTGCCTGCCTAGGCCCACAGATGAGAAAGCCACTTTCTTATTTACTGGCACACACTGTGACCTCTGCCCATACCTGGATTTTGTAAAAAAGAGAAACTTCTAAGTCTTTCAGAGGACTAACTGACTTGAGAGACAGACTAAATTAACCTTTGCCACAGGAACCAAAGGATGTTCTCAAAACAGACATATTTCAAGGATGTCCTGACCTGGGTTTACCAACTTGTTTCTTTTGAAAGGCCATGCAATATAATGGTGAAGGACACAGACTCTGGCATGACAAAGCCTGAGCTCTGGTCCTCTCAAGGCCACTCAGAATTGTGTGACATCCACAGACTGCTTCTCTGCCAGGGCTTCAGATTGCTGGGGTTGTCATGAAGCATATCCAAGATGTTGCTTGTTAGAAGTTCAGAGCTGAGCCTGGCCGGGAAGGAGGACTCTATCCCTCTGCATCCCATCAGAGGTCACTTGACAGGATGGGCCTGCTGCCTCACACACCTTTCAGAAAAGAAGCTCAGCTTTCTGAGACTGGGAGCTTTCCAAAGACAGCCCATTACTTCCAACTGATCTAACACATAAAAATAGACACTTGGATGCATCTATGATTTCAAGTGTTTCCATGAAGTTTAAAAAAAAAAGGGCATGAAAGCTATCATTGCTATTGGGACTGCTTAGTGACTACCTACCCACAACAGACTGGGAATCAAATTCCACTGTTTCCAAACACAGGATTAATCATAGGGCATGCAGAAAATATTTAATAAAGTTGGTATCTTTTGATACCTGCAACTAGAAAATACTACCAGGGGGATGAATTCATGACTGAATCATTTACAACACAGTCATCAAGTTAACTTTACTCCAGCACTCTGGCTGAGGCAGTGGCTGCCTGAATAAAAGCCACTTCAAGAGGCTGGAGATGGACTGTCCTTTCTCTCAGCCTTGTGTTTGGCTGACAACCCTCAAGTGCTGTGCTGTGTGTCCTTTCACAAACTGCTGTGGGATGTGGGAGCAGCTACCTTGAGGTGAGAGCATGGCCCTGCTTGTGTCCACTGGGAGATGCACCCTTAACTTTCGTGGTCTTAGGGCCTGCTTCAGGGGAGGCCTCTGTGCAGACCTGGTCCCCATTTCCACTTCTGGTTTTGACTCAGAGCATGGAGCACCTAGGAGAAACAGAGAAAGCAAAACTGTCACTGACGTATTGATATGATGTTTCATTTGGGACCTATGCCCTGATGACAAATTCTGATCTGGCTGGTCCTGGAGTTGGCTGAGGATTTTGTTTGATTTTGGCTTTCCTCAGTTTGCATGAAGCTTCTGAGGGTTGTGGAGGAAAGGAAGGGGAGGAAGCACCCTCTCCACCCCTCAGCTAGCTTTCTTTGAATTTTATTCCAATTTTTTCCTTTCATGACATGATGGCAAGATGAATGTAGCTACAAGTTTTAAGAATCTGGTTTGGGTTGGCACCATGGTTTAGCGGAGTAAGCCTCACACTGTGCCACCAGCATCCCAATATGGGAGCCAGGTTGTTTCCTGGCTGCTCCACTTCTGATCCAGATTCCTGCTTATGGTCTGGAAAAGCAGCGGAATATACTCCAAAGCTCTGGGATCCTATAGCCATGTGGAAGAACTGGAGGCAGCTCCTGGTTCCTGGGTTCAGACTGCCTAGTTTCAGCCACTATAGCCATTTGGGGAGCGGATCAACAGATGGAAGATCTCTCTGTGTCTTTCTTGTTCTCTCTTTAAATCTGCCTTTCAAATAAAAATTTAAAAAGCTTTTAAAAAAGAGAAAAATTAAAACTTCAGAAAATAAAATATCTGGTTCATGAGGATCTTGTGACATTCATGTAAAAGTCATCATGGAAAACAAGGCTGCAATGGGCAGCACTGGGTCAAGAGCCAGGAACTTCTTCCAGGTTTTCCATGTGGGTGGCAGGGCCCAAACACTTAGGCCATTTTCCACTGCTTTCCTCAGGCTATTAACAGGGCGCTGGATTAGAAGTGAAACAGCCAGGACATGAACATATACCCATACAGAATGCTGGCATTGTGAGCTACAGTTTTATCTACCATGCCATAATGCCAGCCATAGAGTTGGGGGGAGAGGGAGAGGGAGAAGGAGAAGGAGAGAGAGAGAGATTCTTTATCCGCTGTTTGGGAGTGAGGAATTCCACCTGGATCTCCCAAATGGAGAGCAGAAGCCCAAGCCATTGGGTCATTCTCTGCTGTCCTCCCAGGCATGGAGCTGGATCAGAAGTGGAACCCACATGGAATGTGAAGGAAAAATAGGAATTCATATGCAGGGACTGACCCCACTGTGCCATAACACCAGTGTCAAAAACAGTAATTTGGGCCCAGTGTTATGGCCTAGCTGCTAAAGTCCTTGCCTTGAACACACCAGGATCCCTTATGGGCACCAGTTCTAATCCCAGCAGCTTTGCTTTCCATCCAGCTCCCTGTTTGTGGTCTGGGAAAGCAGTTGAGGATGACCCAAAGCCTTGGGACCCTGCACCCGTGTGGGAGACCAGGAAGAGGATCTGAGCTCCTGGCACCGGCCATTGCAGTCACTTGGGGAGTGAATCATCAGACGGAAGATATTTCTGTCTCTCTCTCTGTCAGATGACTTTGCAATAAAAATCAATTAATCTAAAAAAAAAATTAGATTTAACCCAGTCTTGTGAATAGCCTTATCTCCATATGACATCTGTTTCATCGTGATGTTTTCACATCTGGAATTTAACTGACCCTGAGGTGACTGTGGTCCTCTGCCCCTCCCTCCACTCACCCCCCTTACCCACGGGAGCCAACTCCTAGAGATAGGAGATGACTCATCTATGAGCACACATGTAAACACCAATCAACCAATCTAGAGTCCCTCATCATCAGCTACCTCCTCAATAATAACAGTTACATTTCTGGGCTGATACCCCTGTATGCCAATCACCCCAGGATCTGTACCAGAGAACCACAGCCATACCATATGCCAACTCTAACCTGGCTTAGTTTATATTCCCTGCCTCACCTATTCCTTCTGCTAAAACTATCACCAAGGCCCTCACCCAGGTTCTCCTTCCCTTCTCCAGCTAACAGAGCCTGATGCTGCCCCATGTGACTTTGCCTGGTGTGGCAAGCCCCATCTTCCTGGGCTGTGATTAACAAACTGCCTTTTCAGTGGCAGCAGGCTCCTGATGGATCTGTGGGCTTCCTCATACTAGGACACTAACAAGGTGTACACGTTAAAGCACCATGGTGCTTCTTTTAAAGGTCTGACCAAGTTTTCTGAAAGGTAAACTCAGAATGAAACGCACAGATCTGAAGAGTTTAGCTCGCAGAGTTTTGATGGATGTAAACTTGTGCCCAACAACCAAGATGTGGAGTGTTTCTTCTCTTCGAGCCCTGTCCATGGACTGCTCTTACCCTAGTCAGGCACAGTTTTCAGAGAGAGAGAATGTCAAGCAGCTGCAGATGAAACGGCTGTGTGTGTGATTTCCAAGAGTCAAAGCTCTTAAAATTTCAGTGACAATTTTTGTTGAAGCTTCTAGAAAATTTTACTAGACTGCCCTGGTAACTGAAGTCATCTTTTGCCTTTGAGTTCTCAGAGAATGCAAGGCTCAAGGATGTATTTCAGAAAAAGGTACTTTGGATTGAATGACACAGGAAAGTCAGAAACCATTTCTCCTGTGACACAAGGTGAGGCCTTGTTGAGAAAGCCTCTCCAAGTTCCCCTTTGGAACTGATTCTGCTTGTGCCCCAAATATCTTAGAAACTCACTTGGAAATACAAAATCTCTTTACCCTGATAACTACTGTAGTGTTGACCCCTTACAGAAGAACAGCAGGAAAATGATGCTTTGGACCAGCTTTTTTTTTTTTTAATCTTTGTTTCATAAAATGAAAATCCAAATATCCTTTTCACCTTAGTTGTCAGAAAATTCAGCTAAATTCATTGCTTACTTATAGCAGTGAAATAATCCCAGATGTCTGCCAACATTTGCCGCCCCCAACCCTTAACTGGCTTGTATTTCAGGGATAGTGGTCTTGTTTCCTACTTTATTTTTTGTGTGTGTGGGAATCTGGTTCATGATGACCGAAATATTCTTGCACCGTTTTCATATTCACAGTGCGCCAAATTCATTTATGTGTATGCCTATTTTCCTTTCTCTTTCACAGCTCAGCAAATAGTACTGGTTAATAAAAAGTTCAAAAAAATATTTTTAAGAATGGAAGTGGGGGATTGGTGCCATGGCATTGCACATTGGGCCCCTACCTGTGGTGCTGGCATTCCATGTGGGCACTGATTTGAGTTCTGGCAGCTCCACTCTTGATCTAACTCCCTGTTAACATAGTAGGGTGGGCAGTGGAGGATGGCCCAGATTCTTCGGTCTCTGTGCCCATGTGGGAGACCCTGAAGAGTCCTCTGGCTCCCAGACTGGCCCAGTTCTCTATTGCAGCCATTTGGAGAATACACCAGTGGATGTAAGACCTCTCTGTCGTTTCCTCTCTTTGTGTCCCCGTGAATCAATCTCTCAAATCAAAACAAGCCCTTTGTTTTAAAAATGGAAGTGAATGTGACCAGAGTAGATCTATTTCTTTATCCTACCCTTTTTTCCCCTTCCTTCGGAACATTATCTGAGAAGAATCTAGGGAAGGTGAGCCATGATTTACGAGCAGCATGGATTGGCAGGACCCCAAATCTCAGTCCTTTCTGGACCACTTGAGTTTCCCCAGGGGGACACCCATTCACAGGGGACTTACCTCTTCTTACGGCTTTGTCTTTTGGTGGGTGTCGGGTGTGGAAGTGGATCTCCACTGGAAAAATGAAGAGTTCTATTGGGGGTTCAAGGGATTTAAGCTGGTTCCTCAAAGGCAATAGGACCTTGCATGGGTCTTCAGAGATAGGAGGTAATTTCAAAGCTTTGGGCACCTGGAAAAAATTGAAATACAAAACCAATATGTCAGGTATCAAAACCCCACTGCTCACAAGTAGTAAATGATACTCAGTCTTATCATATCCTCTACACCAGGAGCAGCTGGAAGAAGTAGAACTTGGCAAGTTGGGAACCTGCATCTGGCTTTGGTGGGGCTGCTTGGTCTACTGGGAGCATGGCATAGGTCCTGTGTTACTCAGGCCTCTGATTCCTCTGTGCCTTACCAACATGATCAATCTAATGGTCTTGAAAGGGTAGAGAGCCTTTTTCCTGCAGCCAGGGAAATGGACAAAAGGTGGAAAAAAAGACACAGCTGATCCCAGCTATGTGTACTCAAAGTGAGAAATCACAGCCTCTGTTGGTGAGTGGCAACAAGCCAAGTGCGGAACTCTGACATGCAGCTGTTAAGGTAAGAAGTGGCTGAAACTAGATGAGTCCGGATTTGCTCACTTCTCCAGGCCCTTTGCCCTTCCTCTGTGAAGCAGGAGTGAGCATAATGCCTGCCTCACAAGACTGTGGAGAGGAGTAACTGAGTTCGTATTCATAATTACAATAGTATTTGGAACTTGGATTATTGTTGCCACAAGCGATAAGTACATAAACTTTGAGAGTCTCCTTTCTTGTTGGTTTAACAGCCAAAACAGCCACTGGCAACAAAGCTAAGCTTCTCCTCACTTGCTATATGAACACAGCTGAAACAGAAGCACTGTGTGTCAAAATCAGCAATTAGTTTGGCCAAGATTTTGTTCTGTCCCTACACACACACACACACACACACACACACACACACACATACAATGTATATGGATTTGTAATAGAGAAAGATAGACAGCCATTAGAGATAGTATACTTCCTGTTACTAATCATTTAGAAGTGGCTGAAAATTTCTCTTATTGGCACCTTCAAACACATGAACATTGCTTTATGAAATGTGTATGTGTGCTAGGTTTCAAAGAGCTGCATTTCACAGAAGGAAAACATAAAACCATCTCTACTTTTTCAGTGCCCAAAAAGAAAAAAAAAAGTGATCAGAAACACACATTAGCATTGTGTGTGTTTAAAGTTGATGGAGGAAGGAAATTCAACCAAATAAAACTGGCTAATATTTGTAATTTGGAGATATTAAGAAAAATGATTAACCAAACATATGCACATAGGATCTTTATGTTCTTGGAGACCTTCACTGCCCAGGTGCCAGCTGCCCACTAAATGCCCTTCCTTGAATGCTGACCTTGTGTGTTTTCTTGAACAAGGTTTGCTTTGAGAAGTCTGTGCGGAATCTCAGACGATTTGTGTGAGGTATGACTCACAAGCCACGCCTTAATTTCTTAATTCTAATTAAAACTTGACATAGAGTTTTAATACAGTGGAAAATGATGCTTTCCTCGGGCACCGTATCCCTGGGTTGAGGGGAGGGATGCCTCTCCTGTGAGCTTGGCTCTGTTCGGGGATGGCCCAGGTATGAGGAGGAGGGCTTTTTTTAGGCCCATGCCGGTTCTGGCAAGTCAGGTCTGCATTTTATTTCTGGCCCAAAGGACATTTCTGATGTGATGAAAAGACTCAGATTAGCTCAAATACAGGAACTCTGGGAAAATGCTGAACACACTGAAAGCAACCTCCTGTACTGGTTGGTGCCTAAACCTCCTGGAGTACCTGAGGCTCCTTCAGAGACACTTGGGATGATGAGAATTCTAACGATTCATTGCCAGTGCCGTAGCTCTCCAACAGACATAAAATGCTTTCCTAAACACCCATGGCCTCTTCTCAGCTTCCTGTCAGCTCTAGGAGGTTGGCATAACTTGAGTGCAGACAAGGACACCATGGCTCAGGGGTGCAAGAGGTTCTGTTCATGTTCATACAGTTGCTGTGGGGCAAAAGAGTCCAGCACCCCTGCTTGCTTCTATTCACCCCTGATGTCTCTAAGCTACTAAAGACTCTTGCAGAATTTCAAGGGAGAAGTAGGCCAGAGATAATTCAGCAGATCTCTAAGAAGTAGGGGGTTAGGAAACTTGGAGAATTTACCCTGTGCTTCCCAAGGACTCTGTGATTGAACAAAACCTTGCTTGACCAGGACAGTTGCTTACAAACTTGAATGGTGTTGTCCTTGCCTGTTTACAGATCTTCCCAACCCCTCAGCAGAACAAAGGATTTTGTTGCCACAAGAGAGTATGATAAGCACATAGGCTTTAACGTGGAATTAGGGACAGCCCAGATCCTTATTCTTTGCCATTTTGTTAACTTCAAGCAAATGACTGCAGCTCTATGCGAGCTCCACCAGCCAGTTGAGAAGCTGGAGAAGCACGTTCTCTTTTGAGACATCCCTCTGTATGATTGTGTGTCTAGGGGGCATAAGTCACACCCATTCTCTCACACATACCTTTTTCTTCTTTACTTCCCCTGGGGTGTGCTTCTCCAAACCAGTGGCAGATGCTATGGGAGGGAAATGGAATTTTTCAGCTGTGGGCTCCTCTAACAGGGGGCCACTTCTGGTCTTGCGGAGTTGTACAATCTCTTTTCTGTCTGTGGAAAAAGGATGGGAAGGAGAACTTATTAGCTGCAGGTCTGGAGGGGGAAGAAGTTGACACTCAACTTAGATCCCTTTTTGGCTGATGGGAAGAAAGGCACGCAGAGTTCCTAGAGCACAGACAGTGGTGGCTTTGGCTGGGACAGCTGCACAGGGACTCCCGGTCTCATGACATTTGTGTTCTTATTAGCTGAGTCAGATGATGGAGAGAATGATAATAATAAAAAAAATGTATGAAGAGACAGATATAGGGGAAAGAATTATACAAAATATTTTATATGTATTGACTTGGTCAATTCCCACAATACCTTCACAGAAGTAGTTTGCCCAAGCTCGCAGCTAGGAAGTAGGAGAATAACTGGAACCCAGGCAGTAAGGTTGAAGAATGGGCAAGGTGAAGCATGAAGCAAGGTGGAGACTGACGGAGTCCCATTCCCAAGCCCATTCAGACTCTGTTACTTCCTTTTTTTTAAGATTTATTTTTATTATTTCATTTTACTTGAAAGTTAAAGTTACAGAGAGAGAGAGAGAGAGAGGTCTTTTGGTTCAGTCCCCAAATGGTTGCAATGGCCAGAGCTGGGCTGATTTAAAGCTGGGAGCCAGGAGATTCTTCCAGATCTCCCACGTGGGTTCAGGGGCTCAAAACCTTGGACCATCCTCCTCTTCTGCTTTCTGAGGCCATTAGCAGGAAGCTGGATTGGAAGTGGAACAGCTGGATCTTAAATAGTGCCCATATGGGATGCTGGCGCAGCAGGCAGAGAATTAGCCTGCGCCAGACCCTGGACTCTGTTACTGTCTAAGGTGAGCAGCCCAAGGAAGTGATGTTCAGCATATCTCAGCATTCTTAGATGGACTCTGCACTAGTAGGTTTTCCCAGATCACAGTGTGAGACACAGGGCTCCTTACCCCTAAGCTCTGCCTTCCGACTGGGAAAGGCACCTCCATAGTATGTAATATGGGACGTGGGGCCCAGGAGCCAAGAATGATGGATGTGTGCCTGGCTGGAGGCTGTTCTGGAGTTCTGCTGGGGCTTTTCATTGTGGCTTTCCTGGGATGCTCCTGACGTGTCCTAGAAACAACAGATACACAATGCTGTAAACAGAGGGCCAGAAACAGAGCACTCAGGTGCCATTCATGGTCATCCCTCATGGCTAGACCTGTGGTTCCAAGGGGTGAAATGGCTTTCACAGCCTTGGAAGAAGACAAGCAAGCATACCATAGCAAACATACCATAGCAAGATCTTTGATGTTATTTATTACAATAAAACACTTCCTACACTGCTGCTAGAAAGAATGACATTTAATCATACCTGACCTATAATGCTTTCTTGCAAAAATGATTTTTAAATCAAAATGAAATGCTGGTCTCATTGTTGTCATCCATCATAAAACGTCTTCCTCCTCTCCCCATCAACCATGTGGTTGTTCTATTCCTGCTCTGCTCAGCACAGGACCTTCTCATGAGTCAAGCAAGTTCACATTTTTTGTTTCATGAACAACTTATCTTGCATATCCACACACATGCCCACACATACAACAAACATTTTGCAGTTCATGAAGCCTTTCCACATTTTAACTCTTTTAGTTCTCATGGTAACTTTATGAGATATACAAAAATACATGGATATCAATTTTTTGGCACCCAAACAAATCTATCTTTGAATTCCTTGAGTGTCTTGAAGTCCCTTTGTATGTCACAACAGCTCTACTTCTGCAGAAAAGGTCATTCATGCTCAAAGCTAGGTTTCTTGCGCAGGCTCATCACAACTGGTAAATAAAACAGGATTCAAATCTATCTTTTCCAAGCTTAAGGCCAACAGTTCTTTTCCCTGGATAAGACCACAGCAGTGGCCCACATGGGATGAAGAGTCAGGGTGGTGTTTGGGGTAAGTCATTCTGGAAAGTCCCAAGTTAAACAAATCAAGCTACTGATGTTACCCCCAGAATCTTTTTGAGGGACTCCATATCTAAACATGCACAGAGACTTCTTGGAAGGAACATGCAGAAGGCAGCATTTCCCCAAAATCTGTGAGGTCCCTTTAGCAAAGAACAGTGCCAAGGTTTCACAGATGACACTTTAGGAGATGGGGGTCTGAGGGATCCCATCTCCTTTCTTATCTCTGGATACCCCAGGAAATGGCAAAGGCAGAGAGAATCCCACCTGAAGCCAAGAAGAGCATGACAGATGCTGGATGCAGTACCTTGGCTCGGGGTGCCTCTTCCTGCTGGGGCTGCTTCCTCAGTGGCAGCCTGGAGGGCCCCTGACTGCTGTGGTTGTCAGCGCCAGAGTCCTGCTCCATGCATCCTCCATACCCAGCTTCCCCTTCCTGCAGACCCTGGTGACCTGCAAAGGTGAACAGTAGCTCAGCTCAGTGCTGTTGCTGCCTCCAAGCTGCCTCCCTGCTTGCTTCTCTGAGCTAAAGATCCTTGTTCCTTTCCTTCTATTGCCTGCTGTTTCTGAAAGCACCTGCATGGAAGTGGCAGCTGGGGCTGGAAGGATTGGAGTGGAGGCAGGGCCGCAGTGGGGGATCAAGAGACTCATGGGTGGGTCTCTCTCAGAGAGTTTCCTCATCTGTAAAATGGGCACACTGACCGCCGGCCCTTGTTTCCTTGCAGAGTTTTCTGGAGCTCAAATAGGATGTGAATGTGACAGTCCTTTGCCTACTGTGAGGGTTGCTGAGTTTTGTTGGGATGGCCCAGTCTGCTGCAGGCTGCTTGCTGGTGGAGAAACCTCTGCCTAATGCAGCAGCAAGGCGGGCCTCAACGCAACTCCTTCGTTGGCAGCCCTCAGGGAGGATCTGAGTCAACAGATGACTCTAGTGTGGTTAGCAAATCTTTCATCGATGGCTGAAGGGGTCCTGCAGCTATTTTCAGCACTCACTCAGGGTGGATTTGGGGCTGAGACAGTGTGGCAAACCTGCTGTTGTTGGCAGCCAAGCTCTAGGGGCATCTCTGCTCCCAGTAGGTTGCTGTCAACTGGGGGCTCTGGAAGTCATGGGGAGGGAGCACTGGGCTGCCAGGAGCTCCTCCTCCTCTCCCCCAGCCAGCCTCCTCCCACACTGCCCTCTTTATCATGCCCACCTGGGTGTTCTGTCTAGCCTCCAATGCTCACACACGGACCTCCTTGCTCCTCGTAGCCTTTCTTCCTCCTTCTCACCCCTTCTCTCTCCATCCCCCTGCTGGCTGCTCAAGGTTTCTCTGGGTTGGAAGTCTTGCCAAGAGAACTGGTAGGAGAGATGCAGGCATGGGGGATCCCTCAATCTGAGCTGGCCCAGGGTCACATTGGGCCTGCCCCCACAAGGGCTCCAAGTCCTGTGTCCAGCACTAAAGACCTTGTAAGGTACTACATAATGATCCTCTGGGGTCCATCAGACTCCAGGTCTACCATTCCTTGACAGATGCATTGGGAACCAAATGCATCTCAGGCTGGAGGAAGAGAGTGTTAGGAGCAGGGGAAAATGGAGAAACAATTTGCTCTTTGGCTCTAGCCAAGGGGAGATAGACTTCTCAAACTTTGATAGTTTTTTTCATCAGTAAACATCACTGGGCTCATTTGTTCATGCTTCATAAAAACAGGGTTGTAGAAAGAGGACCATAAGACAGTTTCTTTCTATCTCAAATATGGATTCAGATCATCCAAATAAGGAATCCAGATCTCATTACTGACATTTTGCAGGTGTACAGAGTGGAACGGAAGTGACCTGGCCAACATCACATGGTTAGGAGATCTGGGATTTGAAGCCAGGACTCTTCCTACTTCTCGAGATTAAGTATCTGGAAAGGAGAGAGAAGTCAAGGGGCTATAAAGTTAAAATCAATGCCAACCAGACAGGGTTCCAGTTACAGCTTCTTGGTTCAGCTTCTTTTACTTCTTTAAAACTTCATGTCTTTGGCCCCTGTGATCATGGACAATTGGGCGCTGCAATTAGCTAGTAATTATGCTTATAAGCCACAAGCTAGGAAGGTCTGTAATTAATGTTTATTGAGCACTTACTATGTGCCAGGTATGGCACATCATTCTGCTTTACTCCCACATACAGCCCTTGAGGTAAAGGTGGGAGTGTTCGTTTTATTTTATAGACAAGGCATCTGAGGCTTAGGGAGGTCACACAACCCAGGCTCCTGTGTTGGTGACCATGGGATTCACCATGGCTGTCTACGGCCTGATTGTGACCTTGGTATATGTCACCATTTGGTCCATAAGACAGGCAGTGTTTGACCAGCTGCAGAAACATAGGCAGTGCTAACCTCAATGGTGTGTTGGAATCCTAAGGCATCAACATTTAAGGATATTAACTGGAGACAGTAATTTTGCAAAGAAAGAGGAGATAAGGCAATGGGCAGACAGTGTGCCATCTGGGGAAGGGCAGCAGCTTCTCACACAGGGACAACCCAATGAGGCCATTTGATTTCTTCAGGAGCCCAGCATCAACTGGCTTCAAGAGCTGATGATCCACACCAGCCAAGTGCATAAAGACGGATGTACAGATGGGAGCATTAACTTAGAAAGAAAACTATGACTGCCTGGCCAGCATCCTTCACATGGACAGACAGTGCTGGGGCCAGAGTCACAATTCACACCACACATGTTGGCTGGAGTGCTTGCTGGCACCAAGCTCTGAGGACTTGCCATGTTCTTTATTCCTTCACCTAGCCAGATCCTCTCCTAATTCTGACCTGACTCTCCCCACCAAAGACTAGGCTTGATCAAGCACTACCATGGTTTTTAGAAAATTCCTTATTCATTCCATAAAGATTACTTCTATATTATGCTAATCCCTGTTTTTTTCTTTTCTCAAGGCTATGCTAACAGCCAATGCTTTCAGCTTTGTCCTTTCCAGTGATTTCCTCCTCTCTTTCCCCAAAGTAACTCTGGCTTTTAATGCTACAAGTTCCCAAGATCGACACAGTAGATAAACAGAAACTTAAGGTGGTTTAGTGACTTCCTCAAGATCTTACATTTTGTAAATGAGAGAATGCCATTGCTACAGATATCTGGCTTCAAAGTCAGAAAACTTTTCACATAATATTGCCATAAAAATCATAGGATTAAAGAATAATGAAGAGGAAAAGACTAAGAAATTATCTAACATCTCATCTAGACCAGAGCTGTCCTGCAGAGCACCATTAGCCTCATGTGGCTATTTAAATATAAATTAATTTAAAAATTCAGTTTCACAGATAGTTGCATAAGCTATATTTTTAAGTGTTCAAAAGCTAAATGAAGCTAAATTCCTACTATATTGAATGGTAATGATAAAATACTCCATCATTGCAGAAAGTACTATTGCACAGTGCTAGACTAACCAATCCTCTCACTTTACAGATGAGGAACATGAAATCCAGACTCGACCTAATTTGGGGGAACTCCTATTTAATTTAAGATATTAAAAATGTAAACTCTAGAGCAGGTGTTGTGGCATATTTGGTTAAGTTGCTGCTTGCTCACATTTCATATTAAAGTATTGGTTTGACTTTTCCCAACCAGTTTCCAGGTAATGTGCCTGCAAAGGGAGTAGAGGGTGGTCCAATAGCTTCGGTTCCTGCTATTCATGTGGGAGACCCACAAGGAATTCTGGGATCCTAGTTCCCGCCTAGTCTGATATTGGCTATGGCCATTTAGAGAGTGATTCAGCAAATGGAAAAACATGTTTCCCTTTGTCACTCTGCCTTTCATTTGAATAAATACAACTTCAAAAAAATCCAGGGAACACCTGGCATTAATGTAGTCTGACAACAAGGAGTGGCATAACTTCTTCTATCCCCCAACACCCCCATCCCATGGACATGGGAGGGAAGACAGAAACATTTCTCTTACTCATCTTCCCCCTCTTCCAACCCTTTCCACCCTAATCAGAGGCCCACATGGGTCTGCAACCTCCCCACCTCTGTAATAAACATTTAAAAAATACTAATTTTTAAAAATCCAGGGACCAGCACTGAGGCATAGTATGTAAAGCTGCTGCCTATGGTACTGGCATCCCATATGGGTGGCAGCTGGAATCCAGCCACTCCAGATTCAGCTTCCTGCTAATGCACCTGGGAAAGCAGCAGCAGATGGCCCAAATGACTGGGCCTTTGTAGCTACTGGGATACTCCGAAGAAGCTTCAGGCTCTCAGCTTCTGCCTGGCCCAGCCCTAGCCATTAGCAATGAATCAGCAGATGGAAGATCTCTCTCTCTCTCTGCCCACCCCCTCTCTCTCTGTGACTCTTTCAAATACATAAATACATTGTTAAAAAATAGTACAAATATTTGAGAACTTGTCATAAGATCAACATGTACCTTGTTTAAGAGATTTTCCTTCTTGGCTCCAAAGTGGAGGGAAGACAGGCAGGAGGTAGTATTTTGGGGGTACACCTGAAAGATCTTGTTGAGGTATGAGATTCTTTGGTACATTAGGTTGACTGTCCTGGAGCAGCACAGAGTCCTTGATGTATCCTGAAGAGATATGTCAGGAGTTACTTGGAGAAACACCGGTTGTTAACCTAGAGGTCTTGGCAATAACGACAAGGATTCCCACCTGTACTAGCCTTGGCTTTGGATAGCACTCAATAAGAGAGACAATTAGAATATGGGATGGATGGGGAAAAAAATCAAATAGAACCCATAGATGCTTCTCCCTCTACCACCTTGGGCATTTCTGGTCCTGTGCCACTTGCGTGCTGCTCCTACATCACCATTTCTGAGCAGTGGCTCTTTCTGGAGGAAGACACATAGCTGCTCCATGTGGGGTGGGAGCGAGGCTCACCCACTTCACAGGAGACACCAGTGAGGGTGGGTGGATCCACTTTTTTTTCTTGGCTCCTGGTCAACAGCCTTTTCAATTGCGCCATCTTCCAGGTATTTGCAGAGGACTTATCAATGGGTCTCTCTCCTACAGGCAGTAGGAGAGATACAACACACTCATAGCCTACTACAGAGACAAAGCACCAGGCTCAACTTTTTTACCCTGAACATCTGCATGATACAGAGCCGGGAAATAGGAGCTCATTCTAGACTGGTGTTGTCAGAGAAGCCCTTGTCAAAGACATGGTGGCCTTGAAGGGTGGGAAGGACTCACCCTGGGAATGAAAAGGAGGGTCAGGGAACACAACAGCATCACAAGGCAGTGAGCTCTGAGTTATGGCGGGAGAGGGAGGCAAGGGCCACTGGACCCCAGCCTGAGGACCTCACCTTCAACAGGGGCTCTGGAGACGAAGGATGTTAAGAAGCCTGAGAATGCATACATGGAAGTCTTTTCTTAAACCATGCATTAGGATACATGTTTTCTACGGAAGGGGCCACAAGATTCTCATGCAGGGGGTCTGAGATTTTACTGATGCCATTAAGGGCCTCCATTGTTGAAGTCATTGGGCCCATTCTGTGGGAGCAGTGGCACATTCACCATTTACCACACCCAAGGTAAGCACATGTTTGCTTAAGAGGTTCTCCCTCATAAGGGTTAAATAAATGGAGCTGCTGATCATTGTGGGACTGACAGACAAGCCCAGGTCTCATTTTGTTTCAAGTCACCAGTGACTGGGAGAGGATTATTTATTTCCTGTGGTCCTGCCTATTTGTTGGTGCTGAAGAAATGGCAAACAACCAAGCCAGTACTGGAAAACCTTACTTCTCCCCCATTCTCATCCCCAGTAGGTTTGCCAAATAAAACACAGAGTGCCCAGTTACATTTGAATTCCAGGTCAACAATGAATACTTTTCTGGTAGAAGTATGTTCTAAACATTGCAAGTGTTACTGGGGGTGGGTATGGTTGTACCTGTGCTAAATCTGGCAGCTCTAATTCCCAACCACTTCCTGTTTTCATTTTGCGGAGAGCATCTGGGGTCTCCGTTCAACAGAGTGGTGTCCATTTCTCATGTGGGTTGTGCTGCAGAGTCCCTAGCAGGAAATGTTAACACTGCCACTTCCTGGAAGACCTGAGATCACCTTGAATGGAGAGAACTAGGGAATGCTGCGGCGATGTTGAGCTGTGGGTGTGGGAGGGCTCTGGGTTTTGGTTCCAGTTCTACTTTTGGCTGGATGACCCTGGATACAATTCACTTTGCTTCATTGGACTTCTTTTTCTTTCATCTCCTAAAAGGTGAGACTGAGCTGAAAGACCCCTGAGGCCTCTGACTGGGGAAAGATGATGGGAAGAATACTCTAAGGTTCAGGTGTGGAGTCTGGAAAGAGGGAGTGAAAACAAGATGCTAGACTGTCCTTCTTCCCCAAGGATGGGGAATAGGAAAGGGGCAAGAACAGTGATAGAGGTTTATGAAGTGACCAGGTATGGGGACCTTGACCTTGCTTTAACCCCAAACTGAGTCTGAAATCTTGATGTTTCAGTCCTTGGTAGGAAGTATTGTCTTGCACCAGAATGTGAGGTAGGATGGCTCAGGGCCCCCCTGCCCTGCTTTCCCCACTGACCTGCACACTGGAACTTGTACATGGTGTTTGGGGGCCATGCCCGCAAGAGGTTTCGGAGGTATCTCTTGGCTGAATACCCAGGCTGGATCTGCCGCCGGGCCTGGCTGTCTGGCTGGCTTTGGAAGTAGAGGTGCGGTTGCCAGGCTCTGTCCTCCTCCCTCTGTAGGGACATCGGTCAGGAAACAGCATCACTGCTGAGCCTTGAGTGTCCCAATGATGGGGGGGTGGGTAGCACAATCCTCAACAGTAACCCAGAAAGTCCTGGAAGGTGCCAGAAGGCACCAAAAATAGTCTCAGCTAACAGACATAAACCAAGAGTCCACAGAGTGAAGCTCTGAAAGGCCCCTACAGATTTGTAATTGGAAGGAGAAGAAGAAATGAAAAATTCCAGACCCCCATCTTGAGATAAACCCTTAAGGCAGGATAAATGCCTGTGGAAATGATTTTAGTGCCCTCAAAGATGGCCCTGGAGGGCAATGGGAAAGCCAGTATGCATGTTGGCACTCAAATGTTTGTAAGATGAATAATAACACAACAGACAACCATGTCTGTGTTCAGGGGAAACCTGGCATGTTGAGACTATCTGGCCCTGTTGCTCTTCATTTCAACTGCAAAGAATTTTGGGGGACCCTACCCCACTGGCCATGACATTGTGGGGAGTCACTGTGAATAATAACATTTTACATGTGGCTAAGGATTTACACTATCCTTAGAACCTATACCTCTTTGTAATCCTTTAGAATGGACTGAATTAATACCACCACTTAAGTGACGCAGAAATCCATGGGCTAATTGGCTAAGCATAAAAATGGCAAGCATACAGTACCTATGTTGACACCTCTCACCTGTCTGCTTGCTAATGGCAGACATCACTAATCCATCATAGCATTCTTGGCTGCTGAATGAAACATGATCTGAATCTCTTTTCCCTGTAAAACTTTTAGGGGCAAGTGTGGTGGTTCAGCAAACTAATCTTCCGCTAAAGAGCCAGTATGTCATGTGGGGGTGCTGGTTTGTGTTCTGGTTGTCTTACTTTCAGTTCAGCTCTCTGCTTGTGGCCTGTGAAAGTAATTGAGGATGGTTCAGCCTTGGGCCCCTGCATCCATGTGGGAGATCCAGGAGAAGCTCCTGGCTCCTGGTTTTGGATCAGCACAGCTCTGGCTGTTGCAGCTATTTAAGAATGGAGTTAAGATTTATTTACTTTTATTTGAAAGGCAGAGTTATAGCATGAGAGAGAACTCTTCCATCTACTGGTTCACTCCCCAAATGGCTTCAATAGCCAAAGCTGGGACAATCTGAAGCTGAGAGCCAAGACCTTCTTTTCGGTCCCCTACATGGGTGCAGGGGCCCAAGGACTTAAGTCATGTTCTGATGCCTTCCTAGGCACATTAGCAGGGAACTGGGTCAGAACTGTAGCAGCTAACACTTGAACTGGAACACCAGAACACCAGTAATACAGGCAGCAGCTTAACATATTACAACACAGTGCCAGCTCCTAAATTTTTTTAAATTAAGGCATAATTTATAAATCAGAACATGCACAGAGCTAGAGGTAAATTTGAGAAAGGGAGAACAATTGCATATAGCTTTGTAACCAGCACAGAAAACACTTTCTCAGCCCAGAAGCCCCCTCATGCCCCTTCCAGTGTTCTCGCAGCCACCTCACAGTCACTATCTGGGTTTCTAGCACCATGCACTACTTTTCCTGTTTTTGCACTTCACATCATGGAAACATGCAGCACACATTCTCTGAAACTGCATGGAAGTGATCTGCAAGCAGGAACTGGCACAAGAGCTAAAACTCATTTTCATTACGCTTGGTTAAGCACCCCCCCCCCAAGGCTATAACATAGACTGGGAATATAGAGGAGAGCTTAGTCTGTTATTTCCTACTATAGCAGAATGAACACAGATTGATTTCATCCTTGATTTTGTAGACTGGACAGTCCAAGATCAAGGGGTCTGAATGAAGGGAGGGCATTTGGACTGTGTTATCCAATGGTAGGAGGTAGGACAAGAGTATACATGCAAACACATGTACACACACTTACACAAGGAATGGGTGAAGCACATCCTTCCATCAGAAATCACTCCTATAGCAACAGCATTCTTCAGTTACGAGAGCAAAGCTGTCATGGACCAAACATCTTTCAAAGGTCCTCTGCTGTGTTGGATTAAATTCCAGCACATGAACTTGGGAGGACACATTCAAAGCATAACAGAGTAAAAGGTTCAGCTGGTCAGTTGAGGGGTTGGAACTGGAATCCAGGGCTTCAAAATCTGTATTAGTGCAAGCCTTCCTAACCTTCCAGAACTTGTCATTCCATCAATGGACCAGGACTTAACCCCATGAACCAGCTTGACATCAGAGCCAGAAGCAAAAATGATTTCAAAGCATGGGCCTCAGTAAGGTGACCCAGATGATAGATACTATAAGGCTGGAGAGGCTAGCATTTCCTCACATGCTGGGATGCAGTAAGACATGAATCAACAAGCTGAAGCAATGAAAAAGGTGATTGATTATGGGCTATAGCAGGAGGACCAAAGGGTGGTGAGTTCCAGGATTGGTTAATTCAGGGCTTCGATGGCTCTGACATGCTGAAAACCAATCCATAGTTACCAAATCTATGCTGGCTTAAAGGCCTGCAGAGCCTAAAAGTGCACAGAGCAGGAACACCAAGTACATCCAGAAAGTGTGAGCAAGAGAGAGAAGTAGGAAGTCTGGTAAGAAAGCCTGGAAAGGACCAGCATGTTTGGATTTGAGGCCTGTTCTGCCTCATAGAGACTTCAGGATCTGGGATGAGCCTTGGGACCTTTCAGAATCTCTCTCTAAAAAAGCAGCTAAGGTGGGGGAAATCTGTGAATTTTGTAACAAAAACCAGAAGAGTCTGATTTCATACAGTCCGACACATAACAGGGTCTGCGCATCACTCAGAACTCCATGCCCTACTGAATGAGTAGTTCTAATGCTAGCCTCACCCCTTGTCAATTGCCAAAATGATATTACTATCTGCATTACAGACTCCTTGCATCGTGGTGCTTTTTGATCGTATACATGAAATATGAAAGGTCTTCAAAAAGTTCACAGAAAACACCTATTACGAAAAAGAAGCTACGTACAGATATCAAAAATTCTTGCACCAAAATAAATTTAATGTTCCCCAAGCCCTTTAAATCCCCTTTTCAATCTGTCTTTCCCTCCTTCTGGCCTTCCCTCCCTATCTTTCTCATACACATGGAAGTGTTTTCTCATTTCCCACGCTCCCAGTGAGATGCCAGGAGAACCCAGTGAGAAGACTGAGCAGAGGCTGTGAGATCAATCCCACCGTGGTGGGGTATGTGTCCTTAAGCAACTTCACTACTCTCCAATTTCACTTAATGTCCACAGTGGATGGATTCAATTAGCTAAGGGATGTAAAGCGCATATTCAATACTTAGCACATAGGAGGCGGTCAAAAGATGTTGGAATTTTTCTCTATCCCCCTAGTCAGTGCGTAGGAGACTATGTTACTGCCACAACATGCCTTATCCTCACTTCCTTTTGATAACAGATCTCCCAGTTTTATGATATCCCAGACACTGGCTTTCCCAGACTCCATGGTTGCTGGAAGGGACAACATGACCTAGTTGTGACCCATGAGACTTAAGGAGCTGCTGGGGCATCCTTGCTTCTTTGACAAGGGGCAGCTGTGCAAGGATGTCTTGCTAGCTCCTTCCTGCTCTGAACCCAAACAGGGTCTCTGAAAGCCTGAGAGCCATCATGTCAGCATGCACTAAGAATCCAGGGGGAAAATTATAACATTCCAAGGATGGTGGAGGAAATGGACAGAACTCAAGTCCTCTATGACTTTGGATGCCAACTGGTCAAGCATGATAGCCCTGTCTCCAAACTCTGGGATGGATGTGGCAGGTCCTTAGGCTTGGTCCTCAGAGTGGCAGTGGTGGGAGGATCTTTATGAAAGGGATTCCAATGTGAAGCCATCAGGTCAATGGGAGACATAGGGTACTTTAGCTTCCGAGCTTCTCAGGCCTCTTGTTAGGCACAGTGACCATTCTCTGTCATGCTTTCCTGCCATTTATCATGAAGGTCTCACCAGAGCTGAGCTGATGCTTGCATTGTGCCCTTGGATCTAGAAATGGTGAGCTAATAAGCAAACCTCTTTGCCTTATAAAGTTAGTCTGTCTCGTGCATTTTGTTACAGTAACAAGAAAAAAGAGAATACTACCCTAGAGATAATTAAATCTCTTTATTGTATAAATCAGGGTTTGGCGATCTTTAGGAACTAGGTAATATTACTTAAAAGATTTATTTACTCAAGACATGTTAACACAGAGAGCAGGAGAGATAGAATGAGAAAGAGAGATTTTTCATTCATTGATTCTGTCCCCAAGTGGCCACACAATAACCAAGAATGGACTAAAGCCAGGAACTCCATCCTGGTATTCCCCCTGGAAGAGGCCCAAGTCCTTGGACCATCTTCCACTGCCTTCCTAGACATATTAGCAGGAAGCTGGATTGGAAATGGAGTAGCTGGGACTCAAATCCACATTTTAGTATGGGATGCTAGAACCACAAGTTGTGGTTTAATTTGCTGTACCACAACATCTGCCTCAATAATGAATACTTCGGATTTTGCAGGCCTTGTGACTTTTATTTTAACTACTCAACCTATCCCTGTAGTGCAACAATACTTACAAACAATGGGTAAACAAATAATCATGCTTGTATTCCAGTAAAACTATTTGCACAAAAAAATGGTGAGCAAGATTTGGCCAGGAAGCTATGTGCTGATGCTTGACTTAAGCCACTGGTAATTGCTGACAGTCATGAAGCCTCTTGCTTTGAGCTGCAGCATGTGAATTTGAAGAGGTGAGCAGCTCCAGATTCAAGAGCTGTGGAAGAAGCACTGGACAAAAAGTGATGGAGGAGACAGAGGAATGATTAAGAAATAAAATGAGTATCAGATAAAAGAACACAAAACCGATTTTTCAATGGGTTTTGCTTTTTAGGAATTTATAAATTAAATGAATACTTGATATTCAAACATGGAGCATCTGTTGCTATCTTGACAATTTATGTGGTCAGCACTTCAAGGACAAAGAATCCGGACAATTTGGCCCCCACGTAGTCTTGAATTTTTTCCAGAGGAAATAAAAGTG